CTAGAATTGCTTTTGCTATTCTAGGTTTCTTCTGCTTCCAAATGAATTTTTGGATTGTTTTCTCTAGTTCTGTGAAGTATATTGTTGGAATTTCAATTGGTATTGCATTAAATCTATATAGTAGTTTTGGAAGTATGATGGCCCCTCTTTTTAAAATAGCCTCCTTCCAGTTCCTGATACTGTTTCTTCCTAACCGAGCCTTCTTGTTGCAAAACAATCCAATGAGAGATGTGTTATTCAAATTATATCATTGAGAAAAATGTGACTCAGAGAGGTTTTGTAATTTGTTCATGTCCATATAATAAGTAATTAGGCAAAGTCAGTTTCATAATAATTATGTCTGGCTCTAAAACTTATGAATTTCAGCAGTTTTGTCTGGGACTGTCTTCAGTTAATTGTGGCACCATTACCAAAATGAAAAAATACAGAAGGAATATGGTTTGTGTGGATATGATCAATGGAAAATTAGCTTGGTTTTAGAAATGTTGATTTTTGAGCTGTCTTGGGATAGTCATGTGCTGCTGTTTAGTTTATTGCCCAATAGTGGAGATAGGTCAACTTTGAGTGTTTAATTTGCTGCAGAATTAGTGACATATGGATAAGTAGGTAAATATAGATAGGTAGATAGACAGACAGACAAGCATAAGGCTGTTGGTGAGTTGGGTATTTGCAAGTTGAAAAATATCTGCAGTCACTTGTCAGGATTCCTATTGCTCCACATCTTTATTTCCTCATGTATCCATGAAAAAATAGAACTTTCATATTTATTCTTTTGTGCCTAAGGGAAGATAATGCTGTCTATGAATGATGTATAAGTGATAATTTTGTATTGTGAACATTAACTTGGCTCTTGGAATCACAGAATATCAAGGTTGGATGGGAACTGAATTTTCTCTTTTGGATTTGTTCATGTCTCATTCTTGAGGTAAAATCCACATTGTGTGCAGATATTGACCGATTGTTTCTATTCTACACATAAAATAAAAACCCAGTGTCTCTCCCACACGATAGCTCATCACACTTTTGGAAACAACCCCCACGTTGCTCCTCATTTTCTCTCATGTGGCTGAACTTCTCTCTCTCTTGAGTGGATGCTTAGAGGGTACCATCCTCAGGGAGGCCTTGTTGGTTCAAGTGGTGGGAATGTACTTAGAAGATGGCTCCAGTGCCATGCCCTTCAGGTGTTGTCTCCCTGGAAAAAAACCATTTATCCAAGGCTACACCCTTTCTGATGTGGAACTCATCCAGTGACTGATTCAGATGTAGTGTGAAAAGCCTACTTACTTCAGTTTAATTAGTGACAACACTGATTAGCCATTTCAGTATCAAGGCTGTTCATGGTACCAGCTGGCATGGTGGAACTGCATTGCAACTTGACTGCATCTTCTCTTCTCTCCCTTCTTGTGTTCTTCCTCTCTCTTTTTCAGGTGTTCATCTTCAGGGCATAAACATTCTGCATGCCAAACTCTGGCACAGAATCTGCTCCCTGGAAGAAACCAGCCTCTAATGTGTGGCATCAAGTATTTTAATGAAATCATTCCAGTTTGTTTATGGACTTAGATGCTTTGGTAGGGCTTCTGGAGTAGATGGATACCTGGGGATAATTTATATAATAACAATGTATTTATACTTGAAGAATATTTTAAATTAAGTTTCATTGCTATGCATCTATTGTGTAAAGTTTATACAATAGTGAAATATTTCAGTAGGGGTGTCTCAGTTTAGATTCTCCTTCAAAAGCAGAGCCTGAGACAAGAACTGATATGTGAGTAGTTTGGGGAAATTATCTCAAGGAACAGAAGTGGGAGTCTGGGAACATCAAAGGAGAATAGCCATCCCAAGGGTGTGTTATTGAGCTATTCACCACTATGGGCAATTGGGATACACTCCCACTTGGGACCTGCTGAGAAGCCATGTGCAATTGTTTGTCAGATTATAAAAGACTGTTTATCTACCCACTCCTGATCCAGTTGGCCAAGCACTGCCCCTTGAGACGTTTCTCCCCTTGTCCCTCCAGGTTTAGGCAAGCCACAGAACAGCTGAGTGAGTACCTGTCAGCCTCCCCGGAGGCAGGCAGAGAAGCCCTGGGCAGAAAGTGAGAGATGCCAGGTGCAGCGGAGGCAAGGTGCTGTCAGCAGTGATGGGAATGAAGTGTTGGACCGAGAGGATGTGAGACAGGACACAGAGGGAACTGACACAGGGGACAAGCCGTGAACAATAACATTGTGTTTCCAGAGCTCTCTTTATGAAGGACAAAGTGCTTTGAGCTGGATTTTCTCCTAACACATCTGAGGAACTATGGCTAGGCTCCTTTGCTCTGATCATAAGGGACAGAGAAACTTGGAGATGAATTCGATGCAGTGAAGCAGTGTGCTCATTCATGAATAAATTGCTTATTTTGTCTAGCTAGACTTGTGAACAGTCAAGTACCACAAAGAGAAAGCACAGAAATCATTATAGAAAAACCTAAATACTCTGCATGCTTTTATACCAATTATTTAATATTATTTACATTTACTACAAGTGTTTTGACAAGTTTTTCAATGAATTATTGAATATCTTCAATTTAGCTGCTCTGTGTCCACTGCATATTGAATGTCACAGAGATCTGACTGTGATGGTGATAAGCCACGTAGTAGGATTGTCCCGTTTGATGTGAGAAGTGAGGGACCTGGGAGATGGCTTGGAATCCAAATGAAAGATCATCTTTCACTGCATGGATAGAGGCAGTGTTCTAGTATCATATCCTGTATAAAGCCTTCTGTCCTTAGAAAAGGGGCAAAGGGGAAGGGGAAGTGGGAGGGGTAGGGGAAAGGAAAGAAGAGAATGGAATTAATATGAGAAAATGAAAAAAAAGGAAACAAAGTCTTTGTAAATAGGGAGGGATGGAGGGGATGAAGGGAGGACAGGGGAATGGGGAAAAAATAATAACCAAGAGAGATTATGTAAAGGTGCAAATTTCCAATGATGAATGTCATTATATTGTATACCTAAAATGTACCAATAAAAGGATATAAGTTTAAAAAAAGACTTCTGTCCTTTATTTGTGGATTAATCACTAAAATGATAATCTCTGTCATTTCATAGGCAGATTCCCAATGAGTTCATCCTTGTGGCAGAGCTGTGGACTCTCTTCAGGAGATTTGAGTGTAGCAATCACACTCTCTATTAGCATTTGTACTTACTTTGCGAGAGCTTTGAATCTCGAGACCTGCCTAAGATTCTCCTGGCAGCACTTGTATTGCCTAATAGAATGTCAAAAAATTTCATAGTTGTCACCCTAAGAATTTGACTAGTGGATCTGAGAAGACTAGAACTACAGTCCAGGACTGAGAGGCCAGTGTCCAGCAGGGGATGAGGATGATAGCTACCCATCACCAAGATGGGACATGTGAAGCATGGAGGAAGGACAGTCAGGGGAGACGAGGGAGAATAAGCTTGGTTCACCTCAGGAAGCTCTTCTCAGAAGTAGGAATCTAATCAGGAGCCTGAAAAAAAAAAAAAAGGAACCTCAAGCTGGAGAGCCTAGGAAACCAGAAATGAGGCTGCAAACATTAAGAAACAGTTATTTCGTGGCACTCATTACATGTCAGGTGCTGTTCTAATGATTTGATATACATAAGTAATTTAATTCTCACAGAAAGCTTATGAAATAGCTTCTATTATCATGATCAAACCTATGTACCAGATATGGTAACTAAGCCACTAAGGGGTCAAAATATCCTGTAGTTGGTAAGTAGCTGAGCTTAGCTTCAAATCCAGGTAATCTTTCCCCAAAATTCATGCTCCTTTGAATACAGCATAGGGCTTACACACCTTCTAATATATAAGAAGGTTCTTATACATTATCAGTTCCTTCATGAAAGGAAAGACAGAGTCAAAAGGTGGGGGAGTCAAGTGTAACAGACACATGTGTTTATGCCTCATCAGATCCATGTGGCCACCTGCATCTTGCACCGTACCACCCAGTCACCTGCTCCAGGAGAAGGCCCTTGCCTGCCACAGTGCATCATGGCCTGCCAGTCCCTGGTTTGGAATTCCTGGCTTTTGCAGCCACATCAGGGCTTGAATGAGATACTAAGCCATGGGGCATAGAATGTGGCCCCACAAGCATCAGAGGCCAGATGATCCACCTGGAAATGCAGGACAATTAACTCGCTATGTGGTGAAATTTGATTGGAGGAAAGCAGCTAAGTAAATGTCCTCATCTTCCTCTGTTCCACTCTGAGGCCTGAGTTTTCCTTCCAGTCTGTCCCTTTCTTTGGATCAAGTGGAGGCACCTGTGAAGGACCAGTGGCACATCTTTGTGCCTTCTCACAAAGCAACAGGCAGCACAGTGGCTCTTCCTCTGGCCTCGCTGGATACTGCTGCTTGTCTCACCTTTCTTCTTTTTAACCCTTGCTGCCCTGGGCTTACCCGTGCTCCAAAATGCTTCAAAGGCCAAACTGAGAAAGTGGGTTGGGGCTAAAAAGTAGAATCAAATGGAGTAGTGGATGCAATTCATTACAACATTTCATTGTTTAGAGACAAAGAAGGTCTTTTTGAAAAATGTATTCAGAATAAAATGGAAGTTGGTATTTATTATGACGAAAGCATAAGTTTCAGTATTTAATAAGAAGTCACCATGGTGTGAGTAAAGGAGGAAGAGGGAATTTTAGGAGAGAAGGACTCCCCTGATCAGGCCAGCTGTAAGTGTGATTTGCTTACTGGCTATTTTGCCTGTGTCTTCTTCCTCTTTTCTTCTTATTACCGGTAGCAGAGACAGCCTCCATTTTCTAAACACTTCAATATACCTGATGCCACTCCAGGGACTCTATGTATATTTTGTCATTTACTCCTTCAAGGGAGAACACTGAGACTCAGAGAAGTGACTGTCAGACAGCTAATATGTGCCAAGCCAGACTGCAAACTCAGTTCTGCCTAGGGCTGAAGGCTGTACTTAAAACTGTTATCTTCTGCTGCCTTTTGCAAAGTTCCTCATCAAAAGAAGTTATCTGGACAGAGACAAGCCACATGGGGAGGAAATATGGCATGAAAGCACCTTATGTCCTTTGTTCTAATTTTCTCCAGAGCAGCCTGTAGTGGGGGCAGTTGCTAGCATTTGACTTATCATTGCCTCCTAGGAGGAAGTGCCCATTGCTGTGTAGCAGATTGTTGGTATCACTTAAGCCAAGAGAACTTTCTAGCACAAAATACGAAATAACAAATGACTCCTCTGGCTCCTTGATAAAGCTTTTATCCATTAGATTAACATGGTCAGTCCTCTATGTCTGCTGACAAGAACTCATCTCCAAACACAGTGACCTTACAGAGGTCACCCAGCCTATGGAAACCAGTGGGCCTCCTTCTTGATACATTCCTTAATAGATATCTTTAGCGGAACCAATGTTTCTTTAAAATTATCCCTTTGAATCTAAATCTTCTATCTCCCAACTTTCCTCCTCTTCCTCAGTACAACCCCACAGATTTGTATCATGGCATGGATAGAGGCACAATTAGCATGGTAAGAAACCCTGGTGCTGGTAAGCCATGCTAAGGAGAATGCAAGTAATGTCTCATATTTAACTTTCAGATATCTCGTATCACTTTTTATCATCCCAAGTAATGTTTTTCTTGTTACTATTACTTGGCTTTGTTTTGTTTTTGTTACTTGTTGCAGTTTAAATGAAAGTGGAAGATGGCTTAGAGTTGACTTACAAGACCTGGAATCTGACTGTAGCTCTACTAGCTGCACTTTGATCTGTCCCCTGCTCCTTTGGGGAAATTATTTATTCCAATCATGTAGATCATCAGGATCATTACAAATGCTTTTTAAAAAGAGCCCATCTCTTGATCATTTCATCTACATATAAAGATTTTGCTTCTGCCATGCCAATCCTGTCCTAGTTGTATCATTTTATTGCCAGACTATTTTGGTTTAGACCTATGTTTCAAATTTAATGAACAGATGAAGTGTAAGCATATCTGCCCTTGTTCCCCACTTTAGGGAGAAAGCATTGTATCGTCTCCATTCATAGAAGGAGTTTTTGTTGGAAGTATGGAGTACATGTCTTTGATCTGTTGAGAAGGTTCTGTTCTACTTCTAGTCTCCTGATAGCTTTTACCATGAACAGCTGTAGAATTTAGTCCAATACTCTTTCTCCAACTAGTGACAGGATCATATAGCTTTCTCCTTTCCTCTGTTAAAATGATTCCTTTTGGGGGTGGATCTTCCAATGCTGAACCAACACTGCCATCCCTATAATAAAACCACTTTCTACATACTGCCAGATCTGACTTCTAAGAATTTGTTTTGTTAATCAAATTTCTATCTATGTTCATAGTTTTTTCTTCTATTATCTTTATCCAGTTTTAGGATTAGCACAATGTTGATTTCCTAAAATGAGGGGAGAAGTGTTCCTTCTTTTTTCTGCTTTAATTGTTTGATATAATTTATCAGTTAAAATGTTTATGAGCCTGCTGTTGTCATATAGGTAGGTTTTCAAGCTAGAAATATACTTTCTTTAATAGGTGCTATTCAAATTTTATATTTCCTCCAGAGTTAGTTTCATTAATTTGTCTTCTAAGTTACTTCTTAGACGTTGTCAAATTTATTTCAAAAAAGATTTTGTAATATGCTTTCTATATCCTTTTAAATTCTGTAAAATCTGTGGTAATGTCTCCTAGATCTTAATATTGTAATTTAAAAAATGTATAACTGATATTGTGTAACAGGAAGAAAAGGTCTAAAAGAGCAGGGGAATTGGGAGGGGTAGGGGAAGGGAAAAAAGGGAAAGGAAAAAATATGAGAAGAGAAGAAAATGGAAACAAGGTCTTTGCAAATAGGGAAGGGTGGAGGGTGTGAAGGGAGGGCAAGGGAAGGGGGAAAAAAATAAGAACCAAGATACTCATGTAATGGTACAAGATCCCAATGACGAATGTAACTGTATTTTATACCTAAAATGTACCAATAAAGTTAATGGGGAAAAAAAATAAAAGAGCCCGTCTCTGACCTCTAAATCATACTTCAGGTTAAAAGAAGAGAAAAGGGCCAGGGATTTAGCTCAGTGGTTCCGTCACTTGCTTTGCAAGTGCAAAGACCCGAGGTTGATCCCCGGTACCAAAAATAAATAAATAAATAAATATAAGTAAAAATAAAAGAAGAGAAAAGAGATTGAGGGAATGGGGAGTAGAGGTTTAAAATCCAGAACTGCGGCAAGCTTTCTAGGCTTCTGTAGTAAGCAGTTTAGGAATAGCTTTATTAGTACTGCCAGCTGCACAATTTCAATTTCAGGGGTGCCATTTGCAGTGTATGGATTCCACAGGCATGCTTTACACAGGAAAGATTGTGAACAGGATCTCTTAGAGTTGTGCAACTCTGGATGAGCTGTCACTGTAGCAAGCCACTTCCAAACACGACATGGATATTCTTTGGGTTTATGACTGCATAGTGGAGAGGTGTGCTGAGTGCACAATGGCCTAGAACCATGGATGGAGACACAATAGCATGACCACCGCATAAGAAAGTGGAAGGCAGGTTAAGAACAGCTAATGAACACTGCCGCAAGGAAGCTAGCTACCAGATGTCTCCCACATACAACATTACAACTGGTACCCATTGGAAAAGAGTGGTAGGTCTGGGAAGAGAGCAAGACTTTGAAGACAGTTTGGCCCAAGAGGTGGGCTTTAGATCAGAGGTCCCCAGACAAGGTTGAATTGAGGAAGAGTAGCAAGTCTTCTCTCTAGCCAAGCCAAGCTTGCAGTTGCAAACTTTTTTTTCTGCTTTGAGGGTTGTTTTTTTCCTTTCTTTTCCATTTATACATTGTAAAGTTCCCTTTGGAAAAAAAATTCCAACCGCATATCAACCAAATCAAAGAAGAATAAAAGATATGTTCACACTTAAGCTTATACAGAGGTGTTACAGAAGCTTTCAGAAACCAGGTTATATTGGTGAAAAATTGCAGACTTAGGTGTGTTCAGGCCTATAAAAGGTTAAAATTCTGAGGTAAGAGAGGTGGTATGCAGTTGTCATTAGATTAAATGTTATGGTTTTTTTTTCTTTTGAAGCTAGTGGAATGCTCCTGAGCTTATGTGAAGTCTGTCTATTGTCTGGAAACCCACTTTGCTTAACTTGCATGAGAATCAGTGGAAGAATTCGTCAAAATCGTAATTCTGATTAGTAGGGATGAAGAGGACACCTGGGCTCTGTATCATATGTGATCATCTAGGGACTCTACTTTGAGAATGCTGTCCTAAACAATAAAAGGAACAACAGGGGACACTGTTTCAGGACAAAGACTTGTGTTTTCTGATAATTAAATTCTCTCTTTTGATCCTAAATTTCCCCTTTTGTAATATGGATAATCATACCATCCCTTAATAAAATCACAGTCTTGGAAAAATATTTCAAAATAAACTATGTGGTTAGAAGAGGTAGGTGGTGCTAGTTATTAGAAGTCTACGTGGATAAAAAGTCTATTTCATGGGCTTCTGTAAGCTGTCCCCAAGC